AAGCAGTGGTATCAACGCAGAGTACTAAGGCGCGAATCCGTACAAACCAGTCCGCGTTGAGGGGTATGGTATTATCTCGCCCGCAGAGTATTTACCAGAGGCAAATCTTTCCATCATTCAGACCATCCCGTCGTTTTTCATGAAGGTGTACAACATAACCACTTCCTTCACCACGAAGCACAAACCCAACATGGACGGCACAGGGGGAGAGATTTCCGCAGACCGACTCCCGATTAAAGTACCGTCTGGCGGCAAATGCTACGAGATGGGTATGTAGGTATCCCAGACGGGGAGAATCTACCAAGTGAGCAAACAGTACACCGTGGAGGTATGTCCGTCTCTTTCCGAGGTCAAAAACAGGGGAGGTCAAAATGGCTAATGTTAATTTACCTTCATGGCACAAGGGGGATGCAGTAAGCTCCCGGAAGCTCACGGACATGGTGGACGCTATCGCTGACCTTCAGGACGATTTGGACATCATTGCCACAACCACTACTGGGGGTGGTATTGACGCGCAGTCCGTAAGCTCCAACTGGGGGTAGGTATCCGCAGCCCAAGACCATATAGAGCAGTACAGGTGGACCAATCAGGCGAAATACCGTGATGTTGGTATGGGTACGGACGACTTGGGGAAGGAGGAAGAGGTAGGGATATATGCGTCCGCTCCCGTGGTTGCCATGGGTGATGGCTCTATTGCTGACGGTTTTGAAATCCAAGAGGGCGAGGATGGTAAGTCCGTCCGTATGCCCGAAGGTGCTGACATTTTTTTGAAAATTACCACGGACAATTTCGGCAACCCCACAGGCGCGGAGTATGTAGGCGCAGCGGGAGAGCAGAAAATGTACAACCCGCAGAATGAAGAAGGGGGAGAAATATACTATCCTATCGCTCATGCCGAGGATGACACGGACTGGGCTACCGAGGTAAAACCGCAGAGAGTGTTAAATTATAACACTGCCCGTCTCCCCTACATCACCGCCGATGTGAGTTTTAATCCCGATGGCGAGAGCGAGGAAGAACCCGAAGAGGGGGGAGTAGACCCACAGGTTGAAGACGAGGGCGAAGAGGAAACAAAGAGAACCATCCAAGGGACAAAATGGGTTGACGCTATTGAGGGAAATGTTATCCCCGTTCGTGGACTTAACAACCATGGCGGGTTGAAAATCCTTTCTCCCGATACCGATGGCGAACACCTCACATCCAACGCTGTCAAGGTGCATGTGGAGATGTACGGTATTGCTGGCACGCCAGACGAAAACGAAGAGGTAGGGAGTGCAACGGCGGGGGATGGTACTCCGCTCCAACTCTATTAGTCAGAATACAACGCGGACAAACCCTATCGTACAGGTGTTGATGGGGGAACGCTCGCCAAATGGCGTTTTATCCGCGCGGGGGAAGATGATGGAAGCAGCTACCAAGAAATCTCTCTTGCGGGCGGTCATTTGGACGACTGGCAGCTAACATTTCAGGGCAACGGCTTTGTCACGCTCCCCGTCACCAAGGTTGGCTCAGAGGAAGGGGATGACGAAATCCCTGTATGGAAAACCGATGTTTCAAGGGTGGATGACAGAAAGCATGGTTATATGTTGGGCATCCGCGAGGGTAGACACAAAATTGAAATCAACGAGTATGATGAACTCAAAGTCCATCCCATGGCTGAAAATGACTGGGAAACTATTGCGACTATATACATTGGGGGCGTTGAAATCGGTTCAAAGTATGTGGAGGATGAAAAGTTGGAATGGGAAGTCACGACCGATGACGAAGGCAACGGGGTAATCCGTTTGACTGAGTACACCCGTCAAATATCGCTCTCCAAAGATTCAGACGATGTGGTGGACATAACCGCGACCGAATGGGCAGAGGGTGATACCAATGACATCATCTATCGTCCGAGTGTTTATGATTTTGGAATTGAAGTACCATCCGCAGAAGCGTCCACAGGTACGGATTACAGATACGAGTTTTCTACTGCCGCCAATGCCGATGGGTCGTCAAAGCTCACGATTACGCAATACACCCGTGAGGAAACATTTTCGCAGACCGACAACACCATCAAAGATGAATTTGGAGCATGGGCAGCAGGGCAAACATGGGATGTTGTTATTCCCGCTCCAACCCCTGAAAAGCAATGGACGGTCAACGGCTCAACAGGTACGGATTACAAATATGACTTTACTCTTACCCCTGCTGGCACAGGCTCAACCCTCACAATTACGGAACAGTCACGAAACGAGGTGTTGACGGGGGATGGAGCAACCCGCACGATAACCCAGACCCATGGAGCATACGGAAACACCGGGAACAAGTGGGAAATCCCTATACCGGGGCAAGTGACCCCCACGGAGTATACATTTGACAGCAACTGGTTTGAGGTCACAAACAACAATGTCCGACTCCGCACATCCGCTTTGAACTCCGTAGTCAATGAGGCTCTCAATGAGTTACAATTTGAGGTCAATGTGTCGGGTCTTGCGGACGATGTACATGATGGTCGTATTTACGCATCCACCAGCGCGGCAGGTCGTATAGGCGACAACCCCAGCACAATACCAACCACTTACAGCCACGAGGCGAAATAACCATGCCATACGTAACGATTAACCGCGAGGGTTTGAAATCCTACATCAAACAGTAGATTATCGCTCAACTACCGTCCCATGTCGGTACTGTCAACCATACCAGCAACTCAGGTCAATGGTGGCAAGACCGTCCGTATCCATCCGAGCGCGAAGAGTGGGCTGAGTAGGGTTTGGGCTATCATTACCGTGCATCGGCTGTTACTACAGGTAGTTGGAGCGTAAGCGGCGACAAGATTATCTTGAATTTGGACTACGGACTCAACGTGACCTACGTGCCGTGGTAATGCTTAACTTTTTCCCCCAAAAAAGAAATGAAGAAAAGTTTTTACTTTGACAAAGAAATTGGTGTTGAGTTGGCAACCAGCCTCCAGCAGTTCATTGACTCCCTTGAACCCGATGATGAAGTAACATTTTACTTTAACTCCAACGGCGGCTCAGTCGTGTCTGGTATGAGCATGTATGATGCCATTTGCACCATGGAGCAAAAGACGACCGCAAACATTATCGGTATGGCGGCATCCGCTGCAACCTATCCCGTTCTTGCATGCGACACGGTAATCATGGCACGCAACGCCACATTTATGATTCACCCTGTTTCGGGCGGTTTGTATGGCACAATTGAGGATATTGAACGCGACTTAGATTTCATGTCTGAGTTGGAGGGTCGTATGCTCGCCATATATGCTGCAAAGGCTTAGTATCTCACTCCCGAAGAAATCAAAGGTCTGGTAGCAGCCACGACTTACATGTCTGCCCAAGAGGCTTTGGACTACGGCTTTGTGGACTATGTTGAGGGTCTTGAGCGTCATGAGGTGAACTTTGCAAACGCTGCCCCTGACAACACCTTGCCCCCATGCCCAGAGGAAACGAAGGAAGAGGGTGTCATCAACAAGGTACTCACCCTCGTTGGACTGCAAAGCAAGGGCGAAATCATCACCGCTCCGAAGGAAGATGTTGAGGATTTCAAAAATGAGATTAAGTCTTTGGAGGATAAACTTGCGGAGAAGGACATGGAACTTGCCAACATGGGTAAGACTCTTGAGGCAAAAATCGCAGAATTTGAAAATGAAAAAGCGGTTGCCATGCAGGAAATTGAATCGTTGAAAACTGCAATTAAAGCTGCAAATGACGCTCTCACCAACACCGTCAAGACCGAGGTGCATAATCACCTCGCCGCGTTGGGCTATGACGCTGCCGAACTCCCTGCTCCCGCATCCCCAAAAAACTGCGAGTCCGTCAAGACCGCCGATGTAGAGGCGTTCCTCCGCCAAATGGGTATTTAACTTTTCCGACAACATTTGAAGTAAAACCAATAGAAAGATTACTTAGTTATGATAGAAGAAATCACAAACCGCATAGATTTGATGTTCCCCCAGATTCACAATGTCGCAGGGGAAAATGAACTTGGTTCAACCGAGGAACTTTGGAGCAAGCTCTCCGACAAATTTGTCAAGAAGACGGAGAAGATTCTCGCTCCTCTTGGCTCTGTTATCATGAGCGTGCAGACCGACCTTCAGACTCCTAATCCTGACGCTGCTCCTGTGGTGCAGGTTGAGGTTGTTGACTCCATCGGTGATGCTCTCGTGGACACGACCGACTGGGATGAGTCCGAAATCCACAACCACTACGAGGACGTGAAGCTCCACCGCATCAGCCGTCCGTTCACTCTTACCTCCTATGACCTCATGAGAGGCGAGCGCGTTGAGAGCAAAATCGCTGCTGCCATTGACATTGTGGCACAGGGTGTTGTTGCTCAGTTCGCTGCCGCAATTGCTGGTGTTACCGAGGAAGAGATTTCCGACTTCGGACCTGACGCTGCCGCAGAAATGAGTGGTGCTTTTGACTCTGCCGAGACTGAGAGCATGATTCTTACCCCTGCCATGTACAGCAAGCTCATCCCAACCAACACTCTTGGTTTTGACCCTGCCTCTCAGGGTGCTTATGGTATCAACCACATTTACAAGGGTGTTGGAACTGGTGACTGCGTTGTCATGACCGCCAAGGCTGTTGCTGGTGCTATTGCCACGCCCGCCGTACTCGCCAACCATGGCGGTAACGGTATGGATGTCCGCGTCATCGGCTCCGTTGCTGGCTTCCCGCTCTTGCTCAAGACCAAGTACAGCTGGAATGAGACGCTGAAATGCTCCGTGGAGTGCTTTGCCGGCTTCAAGGCAATCAACCCTGCCGAAATCAAGCGTTTCAAGCTCGTTGAGGCTTCAGACGATAATGCGTAAGATTAACCCCTAACCCTTCAAGGACTCCCAAGGTAAAACTTGGGGGTCTTTTTTTGTCCATTAACTTTTTGGAGCAATACTGGTATACCGTTGTTGTGTTGTTTTGTCATATAGGGATGGGAGGGGGCAACCCCTCCCGTTCTTTTTCTGTTTAACCTACCCGCCAAAAAGTGATGAATTTAATCCAAAAATTTATGGACAAAGCCGTCAAGGCTCAAATGCGAGTTGCAGGGGAAACGGTTGAGATAAAGCGTCTCTCAACCAAGGAGACATGGACGGCAACAGGTGTCTTGACATCTCGTGATGGCTCGTTGACGGCTATGGTTGGCGGTGTAGAGTATCAGGTATCGGCTCATGTGCTCATCCCAATTGGCGAGATATACAAACCCAAAGTGGGCGACCGCGTGATACGCGATAACACCACATATATGATGGTCAACGCTATATGTTCTCCCAACGATGGGGCATTTTCATGCGATTTAGTTTTGACTCAAAAGTAACACCATGGGAAAGACGGCAAGCGAGGTTATAAAGGACTGGATAAAAAATGTCCAAAAGACAACGGTGGGGTCTGTGGCTTCCATCACTCCCCCTGCGTCTCGTTGGGGTACTTCAAAAATGAGCCATCCCCAGCGTGCCAAAGACGGTATCAAAAAACTCAAAGACCGCATTGCGAAAAAGTGGAGTCCTGTTGTTGGTATGCCCGCTGGCAAGGATGGGATTTATACTCCCGATGGATTTTCAAACAACGGGATTTATGTATTGCCAAAACCCAAGGGTACAAAACGGAAAAAGAGAAAGCAACAAGAGACGATTTTTCCCATTCTTAAAGATTCTGAAAGCGTTTTGAAGTGGTGGATGGGAAATTCATTCCTCACCAAAAAATCCAAGCGCAAGGTCAAATCAAATGCTCACGCTTTTGTATCGTCTGCCGCCGTACTCAAAAAAGCTCAACAAACCATTGCCAAACATGCGGGTGAATTTATCGCGGGTTGGTTCTCCCTGTTTGAACACTTTAACCTCAAGATTTCCTCCTATACCACAAAATCCGCTTTGAGCATCGCCATGGGTAAAAATTCCTCCAAAATCAAAATGGACAATGAGGGCAATCTCAGCGCATACAACGAGAGCCAAGATGAGAACCCGAACATGGTGAAATATGCCCAGTATTTGGTAGACCGTGACATGCCAACCTCATACAACTATTACGCCCGCAAGCAAAAGTTTGTCTTGGAGAAAATGCTCAAAAAAGAGTTGGGTTTGGACAAAAACCAAGTGGCAACTGTCATGGTGGATGTAAAGATTTAACCCCTCCCCCAAAGTATAGATGTACGCTAATATCATAGATTTTACACGCGCTCTTGCAGACGATTTGCAAAATGTCACAGGGATTACTTGCTTTGCTGCTTTTGACTCTGACATTGTTGATGGCGATTTTTCCGACTGTCTTATGCTCCATCTGACATAGCAAGCGGAAATGGTGTCCTTGAACAACACCATCAAAGTCAACTACTCCGTGGGGTACATTATGCAGCCTGACACCTATACCGCCGAGGAAATCAAAGAGAAAACGAGAGCCATATATGACGGGTTTGTCGGATACCTTGCCAGTCATGAGCGGTACGATGATGTCCATGGAGCGGTCTATTTGGACTCAAATGTCCATGGGTGGATTTTAGATACGGAAGGGGAAGGCTTATCCTATACTCTCCCGTTTGAAATGATTTTACAATTTTAACCCGTCTTAACTTTTTGCAATACATTTGAAAATAGAAAGATTTTGAATTATGCCTGAAACAAACAAAGCTCAAATTTTACGTACTGGTGTGACTCCGATTTGGGGTCTTCGTGGTGGTGTCGCAGAAAAGTCCAAGGCTGTTGCTCTCTTGCTCACCTCCGCTAACATTTCGTCTGCCGTGTCTGACTACGAGCAGTTGGACTCCGAGGGTCGTAAGTGTGGTTATCTTTGCTATGATAACGAGTAGTCAATCTCCATGAGCGGTAACATCATTTATGATGCCGAAACGGACAACTTTGAAACGGTTTCCGACCTCTTCACCGTTGGTGCTGCCGTTACCGATGAGGCTGCTATCGCTCTCCTTGACTCCGTTCGCACGACCAAGCTCAACGGCACGGAAGCGGATGGCGAGGGTACTTATGTGGTTAAGTCCTTCAACCTCAACCAGACCAACACGGATGCCGTGTCTTTTGATGCGGAAATCACCTATTACGGCTTCTCCAACTAATCCAACCGTACAATACTAACATTTAACCAATGGGGATGGGGCAACGCCCCGTCCCCTTTTTCATAACAAATGAACATTACCAAAAATTTGATTAAAGCGACAGCAGAATCCTACACCCGCGAGGAGTTAATCGCCAAACGCAAAGAGGCTATCAATGCCCTTGCGGAAATGGACTTTGTTTCGTCCGCGTCTACAGGTGCAGGGGCAGGCTATACCATAAGCGAGAGAGCAAAAGCCGAGGAATTGGTAGAGCTTTATAGTGCTGCCATTGATTACTTAGACGGAGTTGAGCCAACATCGGGAGCAGCCGTTTATCGCGTACAATTCGTTTAACCCAAACCCCCAAAAGTGATGATAGAAGTAAGCACAGCGGGAGATAAACCCGCAAGTATAACGCTCCGCAATGATTTAGGCGTTGCCGCATCCGAATGGTCGCCATCCCGCGCATGGATTAATTTTCCCATGCCAAATAAAGGACAAGAGATAAGCAACTGGGGGATGGAACGCATTTGGAGACGGGCGAGGTCTTTATATGCCAACTGCTCAGAAATCCGTCATGCCGTCAACACCCTCGCCATGATGGTTGGCACGATTACGCCCCGTCCATGTTCAGGCAATGAAGAATGGGATAAGCTCGCCCGCAATGCCTTTTTGAAGCGCGTCAACAACCCGTATTTGTTTGATGTTGCCGGAGTTCTCAATTGGCAGACCGCCCAGTTATGGGTTGAGAGGGGAGCAATCAAAGATGGCGATGATTTAACCGTACTCACAACCGCCAAGGATGGCGGTGGTTCGGTTGCTTTCTTTGCCGCGCCCCAAATCACAAGTGATGGCAAGTATACCGACAGCAACACCTGTGGCGTGGAGGTAGACGCAAACGGACGCGCAAAAGCCTATCACCTTTACGACTGGAACACCCAAAAGAGTATCAGAGTTGCCGCCAACCGCGCTATCCTCTACCGTCATAACCCTGACCCTGCTGTATACCGTGGAGCGTCGGAGTTGATTTCGGCTATCACGACCGCGCAGGACATATATGAAATTTTGGGGTACAACAAAGCCAGCATCAAGTTTGCTTCCATGTTTGGGTTGGTGGAGACGATGGACACAGATAGCAAAGTAGGTATCTCCGATTTGGCTTCCCTTCGCAATCCGTCAAGGGGTGGACAGGCGAGTACCGCCAGCGCGTCTCTCCCCGTTCGCATCGGGGAAACACAGGCAATCACGCTCTCCGCAGGGCATAAGTTGGAGACAATACACGACTCTCGCCCGTCAAATGAGGTGTAGTCCTTTATCCGTTCGTTGGTGGATTCTATCGCTTATGCCGTAGGTCTTGACCCCGTTGTCTTGTACCACTCTCAGGATATGGGCAGCGCATCCGCTCGTTTCGTCATTGCTAAATCCAAGGACATAATCAACCAGCGACTTGCGGATAGAATCGTGTGGGCTAACAAGATTTATCAGTACATACTCTCATGCGAGGTTGCATGCGGTCGTCTTCCAAAATGCCCCACGGAGAACTGGTCACAGGTGAAATGGGTGTCCACTACGGGTTGGAGCATTGACCTCGGCAGGGATGCAAAATCTGCCATGGCTCTAATCTCTCAGGGTTTGATGAGTGCCGACGACTATTGCTTATCTACAAGTGGAAAAACGAGCGAGGAAATCTTTGCCGAAAACTTACACTCCGTCTCCCATAACATTGAGAGGGCAAAGGCAGCAGGGGTTGATTACTACATGGTAGCTGCTCCCGCAGCAGGGGCAACATTTGCAGTCCCATCCCCTACGACTCCCACAAAGGACGAATCCGAGGATGACGATGGTTTAGCGTAATCCCTAACAGAAAGGAGAAAAGAAAATGACAACAGAAGAAGAAAAGAAAATGAAAGAGTTGGTCTTGCAGCACGTGAACGAGAAAGCGCAAGAGTTGAGCCAGAAGACAAGCAACAAGTGGATAAGCTATTTTTTCCGCGCGGTTGCTACCGTTGCCCTGATTCTCACCTCAGTTATGGCTTATAGCTCCTGCACCGTTGCCGATAATGTGAATATCCATCTCATGCCAAAAATTGAAAGGGGATGTCAAAAATGAACGGAGTGGTTGAGGCAATCAAAGCTATCTTTGCACTTTTTACCGCAAATCCCAGCGGACTCATTTGTACAGCGTGTATGGTTGCCATGGCGGTAATCTACACCGATGGGAGAGAGTTTATCCAACACCAACAAAACGCCCTTGACGAAATAACCAAGTCTCAACAGACCATCACCATGGAGCTGCGAGAGATTAACATCCGTCTTAATGATTTGGAACAAAAGCAGCATCAAAAATGAACGCAAGACTCATGAACGATAAGAAGTATCTCCAACGGGTACTCCGTCTCGCAGGGTATCCTGTTGGAGCTATTGACGGAATTGTGGGGGAGAGAACAAAGGGGGCAATCAGACGATGGGATGAGGACTGCGCCAACGCCATTGTGACATGGGGAGAATTGGACAAACGCTCCGAGGATAATCTCTCCACCCTTGTCCCGTTCGCCCAGCTCGCCATCCGTAAGTGGTTTTCCCAAAAAGTCAAGGCTTTCATGGCAAAGCACAACGTGGAGGTCAAAGTCATTTGTGGCACGCGAACGATAGCGGAACAGGATGCACTCTATGCACAAGGACGCACGAAACCAGGAGCCAAAGTTACCAACGCACGTGGCGGGTCAAGTATGCACAACTACGCCATTGCAATTGATTTGGGAGTCTTTGTCAATGGGAAATATGAAGAGGGGGACAAATGGTATAAGCAGCTCCACTCCGAATGTGGCAACCCCGATGGTTTTGAGTGGGGCGGCGAATGGAAATCCATTGTGGACACTCCGCATTATCAGGTTGCCAAGTGGGGCAGCACGGTTTCCAAAGTCAAAAGTGTATTTAACGCATAAAATTATCGCTTAACCCCAACTGCAACTGGTGCAAGCAAAATGGAAAAACAATCAAAAAACGAGATATTACAACATTACGCGGCTGAGAGACAGAGATGCCTCCAGTATACCCGCGTAATGGGATTTTAACTCCCCCTTGAAGTCAAAAGCGGATAGGGGGAGCACGTTCTATACTACAGACCAGCATACACGGGCGAGACAGATTACCGCAATGGAAAACCCGTGGAAGGTTATAATCATGGCAAAATGTCCGAATTCAAGTAGAGAGTTTGGTTCACCACGAAAAAATCAATGGGAGGTCAATGACCTCCTTTTTTTGTTTAACCCTCCCGACCATTTTTAGGATTAAGCGTTTGATTTTACGCAGAAAAAATCATTTTTAACATTTTTAGATTATATGAAAGAATACCAAGTTTTCAAAGGCAGTTTTTATGTGGCAACGAATAAGTCCGATGCCGACATCACCATCACCGACACCCGTACTGGGGTGACTCTTTGCACCGTTGCAACGGGCAGTCAGGCTCTTTTTGTGGCTATCGGTAAGACCATCACCGCTGACGGAGAAATCGTACTCACGCTCGTTCACTAATCGGAAAGGAGTAGCAATATGGACTTGAAACTCATTGCAACTTTAGGTTCTTTCGGCGGCGGGGGTGGTAATACAAAGCCGTTGGAGGAAGAAATTGAGAGGCTAAACGGGGTCGTTTCTGAACAAGACCTACAAATTGACATCCTGACTGCTCAAAAGCGGGCGGCAATGGAAGCTAACACCATGCTCAACGCCGAACTTGACGGCAAGACCGAGGAGGTCAACAGCCTCAACTCTTATATTGGGGGCAAAGCAACCGATGTGAGCGGGTACGCGGACGACATAGACGGGATACGAGAGAGAGTGGATGCTGTCAACGCGAAGGTGGAAAATTTGGAAGGGGCGAATGTTGTACCCAATGCTGCTTACGTTGATGAAAATGGGGAATTGCATGGGAAAGCCATTGTATATAATACTCTCAAGACGGTTGGTGAAAATGCAGACTTTTCGGGCATTACCAATGGTAGCCGCCTATTCTACAACGGCATTTTGACATCATTCTCTGGCGACCTCTCAAATGTTACTACTGGTACTGAGATGTTCTCTGGTTGCTCCTATTTGACATCATTCTCTGGCGACCTCTCAAATGTTACTACTGGTAGCAGCATGTTCTATATGTGCTCCAGTTTGCCATCATTCTCAAGCGACCTCTCAAGTCTTACTAATGGTTACACCATGTTCTCGTATTGTTCCAACTTGACATCATTCTCAAGCGACCTCTCAAGTCTTACTACTGGTAGCTACATGTTCCAGTGGTGCCCCAGTTTGACTTCATTCGCAAGCGACCTCTCAAGACTTGATGATGGTAGCTGCATGTTCTATTTTTGCTCCTATTTGACATCATTCTCAAGCGACCTCCCTGCGCTTACTAATGGTAGCTACATGTTCTACTACTGCCGCCTTGACAAACCCTCTGTCATTAACATTTTGACGACCATCCCAACTTATACATCTGATACGCACACAATCACCATTGGAGCTGCGAAGAATGACACAACCATTGACGGAGTGACATACACAGGTTGTTGGTCTGACGGGGCGGTTGACCCCGAAATCACCGCTGCCATCACAACTGCCCAAAACAAGGGTTGGACTGTTTCAATCACCTATTACGATTAACATTTAACCCCAAACGCAAAATACGAAAAATGATTAACAGAGATAAACAAAATTTTGAAAAGCAAATCACAAAGCTCTCCCAAGAGATAACCGATTTGGGGGCAAGTGTTACCACATTAGAGGCGACCGTAGACTCCAAAGTGACCGCAATGTCCGTGCTGAAACAGCAGAAGGACGAACTTGAGGTACAAATGGGCGAAAAAGACACGACCATTGCAACCCTGAATTCATCGGTTGAAGAATTGACGGAAAGCGTGTCCGCGAAGGACACGACCATTGCCGACTTAACCGCGAGGGTGGAAGAACTTGAAAACAGCGCGGGTGGTGATGTGCGGGGTTGTTACGCTGACGAAAATGGAGTTCTATACGGCAAACCCGTTGATTATAAGGCTCTCAATGTTGTGGACGAACATGCAGACTTATCAGACGTTACTGATGGTAGCAACATGTTCTCCAACGGCATTTTGCAATCATTCTCAAACGACCTCCCACGGCTTACTACTGGTGATAAGATGTTCCTTCTTTGCACCAATTTGGAATCATTCTCTGGCGACCTGTCAAGTCTTAGGACTGGTAGCAGCATGTTTTAGCATTGCACCAATTTCACATCATTCTCAAGCGACCTCTCAACTCTTACGGGTGGTAGCAGCATGTTCTTGGAGTGCTACAGTTTGACATCATTCTCAAGCGACCTCCCTGCGCTTACGAATGGTCCCAGCATGTTCTCGTAGTGCTCCAAGTTGACATCATTCTCAAGCGACCTCTCAAATCTTACGGGTGGTAGCAACATGTTCTACAATTGTCGCCTTGACAAACCATCTATCTTGAGAATCTTGAGAACTATCCCAACATATACCTCTGGGTCACACCCAATAACAATTGGAGCCACGAAGAATGACAGGGATGTTGACGGAGTAACATACACAGGTTGTTATCTCAATGGAGTCGTTGACCCCGAAATCACGGCTGCTATCGCCGCTGCCCAAAATAAGAGATGGACAGTATCTATCACCTACCACGATTAACATTTAACCCAAACACCAACAAGAAATGGAAGAATTACATTATCTCATCACGGAAACGGCAGACGGCATGTATCAGGACGCAAACGGCAAACGCTATGATGTCATTGAGGGTCAATTCATTTACGCCCCCGGCAAAGCGGAAAACGAAGACACCGAGGTACACGCAAACCTTGAGGCATGCTTAACCGCTCACGGTTTGACCGCCGTTGAAGCCTAAACCGAAACAAAAACATTTCAAAAGACGGGTTTTTCCCGTCTTTTTTTGTTCTCATAGCAAAATAGAACTCAAATAAAAAATTTTTGAAATTCTTTGAAAAAACCACGCGGGAGAGAGTTCTCCCAGCTAAATACAATTGAAATGAACATGAAAATGAAAGACAACACAAGTTAGAAAAAAATGACGGTAATGGGTCACGAAATCACTGTAAGCGCATGCGGTCGTATTTTTGACTCCGAAGGAAAAGAGAAAAAGTAGACTATACTCCCCACAAACTCAACCCCCAATGACTACCGCGTAGTCTCCATTGGAGGTAAAATGTTATACGTCCACCGCCTTGTTGCAACCGCGTTTTATGGCGACCCTCTCCCCTCTCTCGTATGCGACCATATAGACGGCGATAAATCCAACAACAATGTGGACAATCTCCGATGGACTACCCGCAGCGTGAATCGCCGCAACGCACACAACACCATGACGATGCCCGACATCAACGACTATTGGGTCGCCCCGTCTGACAACTACGACAACGGCTGCTGGTACTCATCATGGTATGAGGTTGCAATGGCTCTGGGATTTAATTGGACCAATTTCCGTCAATGGTTGCTCACTTACCGCGACAGCCTTGACGAACGAGAATATCACGGGTACACGATACTCCACATGAACAATCCACAGGTTGTTGGCATGTTGGAAGACATGATGTATGAGTATGACGAGGAGGGTTAATCATGGCAAGACTTGTTGAACTACTACCGAATTACGAGTACGAAGAAACCATCAATCTCCCGCCCGCGTCTGCGTTGGGCGAGGAGGTTGGGTCAAAGCTCCTAAACATTTTGGAACGCTTACACCGTACAGACCCGTCTCTTGCCACGGATGAGTTGCTGGCAGTTGCCCGTGCTACTCGTTACCCGTTGCCGTAGTCATGGAGCAAAAAAGCGGTGAAAACCCATCCCAATTTGGACTGGCTCACGGACGACATGGTTGACATCACGGACTACCTCATCTCGCATACATTGGACTCCCCCCTTGCAAATGGCACATCAACCTTCAACGCCATCCTGTTGACTACCCTGTATTGGTTCTTGACCCGCGAATCTTGCCCGTTGAGTACCTATTTAAAATCGTATGACCTGAATACAACATACGGGGGATTTATGGTAAGCGACTATCTAACATATCTCAAATGATGATGGCTCAAAGACTAACCAAAGAGTATATGTGACGTGGATTTGTGAGCGGGATTACCCGCTCCTTCCTCTGCACCACGCTGCCATTAGGCACATTGACCCCGACAGCGTGATAATCTACGTATATGACAAAACCAAAGACCCTGCTCCCGTAGTGGATAAACCCAACACCGTTGTCATTGGGTCAACTTTTGACCGTCAGGGTAATCTCAATGGGGAGAGGTGCATCCGCGAAATGATACACTTTTACACGACCCTCACGGCAAAGGGTGTCCGACAAATCGTCAAGGTTGACGCAGACACGATTATCACCGACATGGGATGGGCGTGTCGCCCCCATGACATGATAGGGTTTCACTCCGCAAATGGTCTATATTGCAGCGGATGCGCTTATGCCTTGTCCGCGCGGGGAGTGGAGTTGATTACCCGCTATCTCTTGCAGAATACCCTTGCACCAACAGACGGGTACAAACTACCAGAGGATGCAACGATTACCCTCATCACGCTCTATGCAGGAGGGAAAGTCGCTCTCTTACATAACAGCCCAACGGCGGCATGTGCTGCATTTTTGCCCCAATTGCTCCAACATCCTGAAGTCGTCAAAGGGGTCAAAGGGGTCATCCATTGCGGGTAGTGGTAGCGATTACGCCCATTAGAGCGAGACGGAGTAGACCGTACCACGGTGGTAAAATCGGATATGGATTTTTGCCTTGCATGCCTGTCCGACCCGTGATAAAGTTGGGAAAATTCACGGAACAAATCGTGAAATTCACGATTACAACCTTGTAAACCCTTTACAAAAATACGCAAAAAGCCCTAACCCTTAACGAGTTAGGACTTTTTTACACGAGATTTTGTACAACTGTTGTATCTATTTTACAAATTGTGTCAACACCCGCAAACCCATATATGACGCGGGTTTCCCGCCTTGTTGCGGATTACATGGGACTATCATAGTATAGCGAATTTTTGACATTTTGTTGACTTTCTTGTTGACAACTTGTAAACAGGCGTGTATAATCAGCTCAACGAAACACCGAAAAACATGAGCGTCCAATACATTGAAAAATCCCGCCGTTTCCGCGTCACCTACAAGGACTATACCAAATCCGCAGAAAAAAACAAGACCGTTTACACATCCGTCACCATGTATTTTCAGGACGCGGACGGCAAAGACATCGTTCCCGTAAAGAAACCTACCAAGGGTATGATTTCCGCGCGTCTTGCCGAATTGCAGAAGGAAGAAAGCAAGATGGAAGAGGAAAGCAAGAAGGGTCTTGTCAAGGCAACCGACAACACCAACGGGGAGAGCGTGGACAAAATCGGTCTTGTCTATCAGCTCAACACTCTGGTCAAAACAAAGGCAACCCGCAACGGCAATGAGCAAACCGAACGCAAAGCCAACGCATTGTGGCTGACTTGCCCGCTACCTCCAAATGAACCATCCCGATGTCACCGCCGATACGCTCAAACGCTCCGTCTGTCTTGATTACCTCGGCAGTCGTCATGGCGACAAAATGCTCAACTCCATGGTGAGCGCATACCAGATTCTCAAAACCGCTCTCAACATCATCATTGAGGAGTACGAAATCAACACCAAAAACATTTTTCGGGAAATCCATACCTATAACCTCGCCCCCATGGTTGAGGGCGTGAAGCTCCAAAAAGATTTGAGCGCGTTTGATGCGGACTGGATGCGTGGTTTTGGATTTTTCTTAACAACGACAACATTGACCCGCAAGTCCGCGTTGCCATGTATCTTGTCATGGTGACTGGTTGGCGTGTGGGGGATGTATGCGGGTTGAGCAAGGACAACATTGACTTGACCGCGCGGGTAATCATCCTGAAGCATGCAAAAACGAAGAAAAAGACGGGGCAACGGACGGTCATTTATATCACCGATGCCATGATGAGCCAAATTGAACCCTTGTTCCATTCCTCTACCAACGGTCGCCTGTTCAGACTTGCTCCCAGCTCTCTCCACTCCAAAATCAACAAGACCCTCAACGACTACTTTGACGCGGGCAACACTCCCATTGGTTTCAAGGTCACGGAAATCAACGGGGCGAAACACAAGACCCACAATATCCATTCTTTCCGCAAGAGTGCTATCACCCTACTCAAAATGGGCGGGTTTGATTCTGAGCGCGTGCGCTATCTCACGGGTCACGCAGGGGCATCCGCTGCAATATAGACCATTTGCGGAGTGAAACCCTATCATGTCATGGGGGCGACACGCCCATCCCATGTCGGTGATAATCGTGTCTGCGTCAACCTTGACGATTTGTCGGACACCCTTTGCCGTGAGGGTCGTGTAAAAGTGTATCATTTCGCGGATGCACCTCTCCCCATTGAGATTACCCTGACGGTCAAAAGTTGACCCAATGACAACGGTGTTGGGTTTATCCACTACGGGAGCAGGGTCTTTGGTTTTGTCATATACGTAGATTATCACGCTGTCGGGGTCAATGTGCCTAATGGCAGCGTGGTGCAGAGGAAGGAGCGGGTAATCCCGCTCACAAATCCACGTCACATATACTCTTTGGGTTAGTCTTTGAGCCATCATCATTTGAGATATGTTAGATAGTCGCTTACCATAAATCCCCCGTATGTTGTATTCAGGTCATACGATTTTAAATAGGTACTCAACGGGCAAGATTCGCGGGTCAAGAACCAATACAGGGTAGTCAACAGGATGGCGTTGAAGGTTGATGTGCCATTTGCAAGGGGGGAGTCCAATGTATGCGAGATGAGGTAGTCCGTGATGTCAACCATGTCGTCCGTGAGCCAGTCCAAATTGGGATGGGTTTTCACCGCTTTTTTGCTCCATGACTACGGCAACGGGTAACGAGTAGCACGGGCAACTGCCAGCAACTCATCCGTGGCAAGAGACGGGTCTGTACGGTGTAAGCGTTCCAAAATGTTTAGGAGCTTTGACCCAACCTCCTCGCCCAACGCAGACGCGGGCGGGAGATTGATGGTTTCTTCGTACTCGTAATTCGGTAGTAGTTCAACAAGTCTTGCCATGATTAACCCTCCTCGTCATACTCATACATCATGTCTTCCAACATGCCAACAACCTGTGGATTGTTCATGTGGAGTATCGTGTACCCGTGATATTCTCGTTCGTCAAGGCTGTCGCGGTAAGTGAGCAACCATTGACGGAAATTGGTCCAATTAAATCCCAGAGCCATTGCAACCTCATACCATGATGAGTACCAGCAGCCGTTGTCGTAGTTGTCAGACGGGGCGACCCAATAGTCGTTGATGTCGGGCATCGTCATGGTGTTGTGTGCGTTGCGGCGATTCACGCTGCGGGTAGTCCATCGGAGATTGTCCACATTGTTGTTGGATTTATCGCCGTCTATATGGTCGCATACGAGAGAGGGGAGAGGGTCGCCATAAAACGCGGTTGCAACAAGGCGGTGGACGTATAACATTTTACCTCCAATGGAGACTACGCGGTAGTCATTGGGGGTTGAGTTTGTGGGGAGTATAGTCTACTTTTTCTCTTTTCCTTCGGAGTCAAAAATACGACCGCATGCGCTTACAGTGATTTCGTGACCCATTACCGTCATTTTTTTCTAACTTGTGTTGTCTTTCATTTTCATGTTCATTTCAATTGTATTTAGCTGGGAGAACTCTCTCCCGCGTGGTTTTTTCAAAGAATTTCAAAAATTTTTTTATTTGAGTTCTATTTTGCTATGAGAACAAAAAAAGACGGGAAAAAACCCGTCTTTTGAAAATGTTTTTGTTTCGGTTTAGGCTTCAACGGCGGTCAAACCGTGAGCGGTTAAGCATGCCTCAAGGTTTGCGTGTACCTCGGTGTCTTCGTTTTCCGCTTTGCCGGGGGCGTAAATGAATTGACCCTCAATGACATCATAGCGTTTGCCGTTTGCGTCCTGATACATGCCGTCTGCCGTTTCCGTGATGAGATAATGTAATTCTTCCATTTCTTGTTGGTGTTTGGGTTAAATGTTAATCGTGGTAGGTGATAGATACTGTCCATCTCTTATTTTGGGCAGCGGCGATAGCAGCCGTGATTTCGGGGTCAACGACTCCATTGAGATAACAACCTGTGTATGTTACTCCGTCAACATCCCTGTCATTCTTCGTGGCTCCAATTGTTATTGGGTGTGACCCAGAGGTATATGTTGGGATAGTTCTCAAGATTCTCAAGATAGATGGTTTGTCAAGGCGACAATTGTAGAACATGTTGCTACCACCCGTAAGATTTGAGAGGTCGCTTGAGAATGATGTCAACTTGGAGCACTACGAGAACATGCTGGGACCCATTCGTAAGCGCAGGGAGGTCGCTTGAGAATGATGTCAAACTGTAGCACTCCAAGAACATGCTGCTACCACCCGTAAGAGTTGAGAGGTCGCTTGAGAATGATGTGAAATTGGTGCAATGCTAAAACATGCTGCTACCAGTCCTAAGACTTGACAGGTCGCCAGAGAATGATTCCAAATTGGTGCAAAGAAGGAACATCTTATCACCAGTAGTAAGCCGTGGGAGGTCGTTTGAGAATGATTGCAAAATGCCGTTGGAGAACATGTTGCTACCATCAGTAACGTCTGATAAGTCTGCATGTTCGTCCACAACATTGAGAGCCTTATAATCAACGGGTTTGCCGTATAGAACTCCATTTTCGTCAGCGTAACAACCCCGCACATCACCACCCGCGCTGTTTTCAAGTTCTTCCACCCTCGCGGTTAAGTCGGCAATGGTCGTGTCCTTCGCGGACACGCTTTCCGTCAATTCTTCAACCGATGAATTCAGGGTTGCAATGGTCGTGTCTTTTTCGCCCATTTGTACCTCAAGTTCGTCCTTCTGCTGTTTCAGCACGGACATTGCGGTCACTTTGGAGTCTACGGTCGCCTCTAATGTGGTAACACTTGCCCCCAAATCGGTTATCTCTTGGGAGAGCTTTGTGATTTGCTTTTCAAAATTTTGTTTATCTCTGTTAATCATTTTTCGTATTTTGCGTTTGGGGTTAAATGTTAATCGTAATAGGTGATTGAAACAGTCCAACCCTTGTTTTGGGCAGTTGTGATGGCAGCGGTGATTTCGGGGTCAACCGCCCCGTCAGACCAACAACCTGTGTATGTCACTCCGTCAATGGTTGTGTCATTCTTCGCAGCTCCAATGGTGATTGTGTGCGTATCAGATGTATAAGTTGGGATGGTCGTCAAAATGTTAATGACAGAGGGTTTGTCAAGGCGGCAGTAGTAGAACATGTAGCTACCATTAGTAAGCGCAGGGAGGTCGCTTGAGAATGATGTCAAATAGGAGCAAAAATAGAACATGCAGCTACCATCATCAAGTCTTGAGAGGTCGCTTGCGAATGAAGTCAAACTGGGGCACCACTGGAACATGTAGCTACCAGTAGTAAGACTTGAGAGGTCGCTTGAGAATGATGTCAAGTTGGAACAATACGAGAACATGGTGTAACCATTAGTAAGACTTGAGAGGTCGCTTGAGAATGATGGCAAACTGGAGCACATATAGAACATGCTGCTACCAGTAGTAACATTTGAGAGGTCGCCAGAGAATGATGTCAAATAGGAGCAACCAGAGAACATCTCAGTACCAGTAGTAACATTTGAGAGGTCGCCAGAGAATGATGTCAAAATGCCGTTGTAGAATAGGCGGCTACCATTGGTAATGCCCGAAAAGTCTGCATTTTCACCAACCGTCTTGAGAGTATTATATACAATGGCTTTCCCATGCAATTCCCCATTTTCATCAACGTAAGCAGCATTGGGTACAACATTCGCCCCTTCCAAATTTTCCACCTTCGCGTTGACAGCATCCACTCTCTCTCGTATCCCGTCTATGTCGTCCGCGTACCCGCTCACATCGGTTGCTTTGCCCCCAATATAAGAGTTGAGGCTGTTGACCTCCTCGGTCTTGCCGTCAAGTTCGGCGTTGAGCATGGTGTTAGCTTCCATTGCCGCCCGCTTTTGAGCAGTCAGGATGTCAATTTGTAGGTCTTGTTCAGAAACGACCCGTTTAGCCTCTCAATTTCTTCCTCCAACGGCTTTGTATTACCACCCCCGCCGCCGAAAGAACCTAAAGTTGCAATGAGTTTCAAGTCCATATTGCTACTCCTTTCCGATTAGTGAACGAGCGTGAGTACGATTTCTCCGTCAGCGGTGATGGTCTTACCGATAGCCACAAAAAGAGCCTGACTGCCCGTTGCAACGGTGCAAAGAGTCACCCCAGTACGGGTGTCGGTGATGGTGATGTCGGCATCGGACTTATTCGTTGCCACATAAAAACTGCCTTTGAAAACTTGGTATTCTTTCATATAATCTAAAAATGTTAAAAATGATTTTTTCTGCGTAAAATCAAACGCTTAATCCTAAAAATGGTCGGGAGGGTTAAACAAAAAAAGGAGGTCATTGACCTCCCATTGATTTTTTCGTGGTGAACCAAACTCTCTACTTGAATTCGGACATTTTGCCATGATTATAACCTTCCACGGGTTTTCCATTGCGGTAATCTGTCTCGCCCGTGTATGCTGGTCTGTAGTATAGAACGTGCTCCCCCTATCCGCTTTTGACTTCAAGGGGGAGTTAAAATCCCATTACGCGGGTATACTGGAGGCATCTCTGTCTCTCAGCCGCGTAATGTTGTAATATCTCGTTTTTTGATTGTTTTTCCATTTTGCTTGCACCAGTTGCAGTTGGGGTTAAGCGATAATTTTATGCGTTAAATACACTTTTGACTTTGGAAACCGTGCTGCCCCACTTGGCAACCTGATAATGCGGAGTGTCCACAATGGATTTCCATTCGCCGCCCCACTCAAAACCATCGGGGTTGCCACATTCGGAGTGGAGCTGCTTATACCATTTGTCCCCCTCTTCATATTTCCCATTGACAAAGACTCCAAATCAATTGCAATGGCGTAGTTGTGCATACTTGACCCGCCACGTGCGTTGGTAACTTTGGCTCCTGGTTTCGTGCGTCCTTGTGCATAGAGTGCATCCTGTTCCGCTATCGTTCGCGTGCCACAAATGACTTTGACCTCCACGTTGTGCTTTGCCATGAAAGCCTTGACTTTTTGGGAAAACCACTTACGGATGGCGAGCTGGGCGAACGGGACAAGGGTGGAGAGATTATCCTCGGAGCGTTTGTCCAATTCTCCCCATGTCACAATGGCGTTGGCGCAGTCCTCATCCCATCGTCTGATTGCCCCCTTTGTTCTCTCCCCCACAATTCCGTCAATAGCTCCAACAGGATACCCTGCGAGACGGAGTACCCGTTGGAGATACTTCTTATCGTTCATGAGTCTTGCGTTCATTTTTGATGCTGCTTTTGTTCCAAATCATTAAGACGGATGTTAATCTCTCGCAGCTCCATGGTGATGGTCTGTTGAGACTTGGTTATTTCGTCAAGGGCGTTTTGTTGGTGTTGGATAAACTCTCTCCCATCGGTGTAGATTACCGCCATGGCAACCATACACGCTGTACAAATGAGTCCGCTGGGATTTGCGGTAAAAAGTGCAAAGATAGCTTTGATTGCCTCAACCACTCCGTTCATTTTTGACATCCCCTTTCAATTTTTGGCATGAGATGGATATTCACATTATCGGCAACGGTGCAGGAGCTATAAGCCATAACTGAGGTGAGAATCAGGGCAACGGTAGCAACCGCGCGGAAAAAATAGCTTATCCACTTGTTGCTTGTCTTCTGGCTCAACTCTTGCGCTTTCTCGTTCACGTGCTGCAAGACCAACTCTTTCATTTTCTTTTCTTCTTCTGTTGTCATTTTCTTTTCTCCTTTCTGTTAGGGATTACGCTAAACCATCGTCATCCTCGGATTCGTCCTTTGTGGGAGTCGTAGGGGATGGGACTGCAAATGTTGCCCCTGCTGCGGGAGCAGCTACCATGTAGTAATCAACCCCTGCTGCCTTTGCCCTCTCAATGTTATGGGAGACGGAGTGTAAGTTTTCGGCAAAGATTTCCTCGCTCGTTTTTCCACTTGTAGATAAGCAATAGTCGTCGGCACTCATCAAACCCTGAGAGATTAGAGCCATGGCAGATTTTGCATCCCTGCCGAGGTCAATGCTCCAACCCGTAGTGGACACCCATTTCACCTGTGACCAGTTCTCCGTGGGGCATTTTGGAAGACGACCGCATGCAACCTCGCATGAGAGTATGTACTGATAAATCTTGTTAGCCCACACGATTCTATCCGCAAGTCGCTGGTTGATTATGTCCTTGGATTTAGCAATGACGAAACGAGCGGATGCGCTGCCCATATCCTGAGAGTGGTACAAGACAACGGGGTCAAGACCTACGGCATAAGCGATAGAATCCACCAACGAACGGATAAAGGACTACACCTCATTTGACGGGCGAGAGTCGTGTATTGTCTCCAACTTATGCCCTGCGGAGAGCGTGATTGCCTGTGTTTCCCCGATGCGAACGGGGAGAGACGCGCTGGCGGTACTCGCCTGTCCACCCCTTGACGGATTGCGAAGGGAAGCCAAATCGGAGATACCTACTTTGCTATCTGTGTCCATCGTCTCCACCAACCCAAACATGGAAGCAAACTTGATGCTGGCTTTGTTGTACCCCAAAATTTCATATATGTCCTGCGCGGTCGTGATAGCCGAAATCAACTCCGACGCTCCACGGTATACAGCAGGGTCAGGGTTATGACGGTAGAGGATAGCGCGGTTGGCGGCAACTCTGATACTCTTTTGGGTGTTCCAGTCGTAAAGGTGATAGGCTTTTGCGCGTCCGTTTGCGTCTACCTCCACGCCACAGGTGTTGCTGTCGGTATACTTGCCATCACTTGTGATTTGGGGCGCGGCAAAGAAAGCAACCGAACCACCGCCATCCTTGGCGGTTGTGAGTACGGTTAAATCATCGCCATCTTTGATTGCTCCCCTCTCAACCCATAACTGGGCGGTCTGCCAATTGAGAACTCCGGCAACATCAAACAAATACGGGTTGTTGACGCGCTTCAAAAAGGCATTGCGGGCGAGCTTATCCCATTCTTCATTGCCTGAACATGGACGGGGCGTAATCGTGCCAACCATCATGGCGAGGGTGTTGACGGCATGACGGATTTCTGAGCAGTTGGCATATAAAGACCTCGCCCGTCTCCAAATGCGTTCCATCCCCCAGTTGCTTATCTCTTGTCCTTTATTTGGCATGGGAAAATTAATCCATGCGCGGGATGGCGACCATTCGGATGCGGCAACGCCTAAATCATTGCGGAGCGTTATACTTGCGGGTTTATCTCCCGCTGTGCTTACTTCTATCATCACTTTTGAGG